TTTTATAACACATATTCTTTTCCTCTGGTATGACTCTGATGGCTATCCTGGTCGATCTCTTACCTCTAAGAGGTCCAGTCTAAACAATATTCCAAAACCAGTGCTGTCCAAGTTCTATTCTGCAGCATCATTGAAAGTTTCTGCTATTTCTCTACTTAGATCTTCCCAAATAAGTTTTCAGTTATCCTAGCTTCTTAGGATTTACATAGCATTAACTTATTATAGAGTTTGTATCTGATAATTACTGGAATATATTTCTCTGTATAACTTGTACACAGATACAGGACCCACACTCTACTACTTTGTAATAGCTTACTTCTTATTTAAGATAGTGTTACTTAAGATTGCAGATTGTAGATCTAAGCCATTTTTAAGATAGTTGTTAACTTACACAGCCCAGTATTTAAAATTGTTGTCCGTAAGATTCAAACACTAGACCTGCTGCTTGGTAACACCCTAATTTATTATATAATATATGGGCAGTGTTCTGAGAAAAGGGCCCAAATTGATAAAAAAAATTTCTTTATAAAAAATTAATTATCTTGTAAACTATTGATCAGAATTGTATAATTTTGGTACCATTCAATTTCTCTTGATGAGATGAATCAGATAATACTAAAATCATGCAATCCCAATCAATAGTTTATGAGATAATTAATTTTTTGTAAAGAAATTTTTTTTATCAATTTGGGCTCTTTTCTCAGAATACTGCTCATATATATTATATTTATATAATTTGATTAATTTAATTGGTTTGACTATTTAATCAATTAACTAAACCAATTTGACTAGTAAATTTTTGGTTAACTACTAATTTGCCTAACACTAATTATTATACTAAATCTAAATATTATTTTTAAATCTATATTATTCCTTATTTAAACTGTCTAATATTCAAATTTAAATACTAAAATAATTTTTTATATGTTTTTTATAATTATTTAAAATTTTTATTAAGCTTAGCTCTTTCTATTTCTAAGCTAAAATAAAAATATAGCAGATCTTATTTAGTATAGATAGGAATATATAAATATTATAAAATTATTTAATATAAAAAATCTCTAACTCTAACTCTAATCTAACTATAAATTATACTATAACTCTTACCCTAACTCTAACTATTCTCAAATTTGTTTAAATTAGTTTAAATAGTTATTTTTATATTAAATAATCTTAATACAGTAATATTTTTATATTCTTATCTATACTAAATATTAACAAAAAAAAAAAAAAACAATAAAGATAAAATTTAATTAGTCAATAGCCTTATTACTAAGGAGAAGAGGGGTATGATCTATATAAACCCTAATTACGTAATTTACTACACTTCTCTTATAGAAAGTGTATTTAGAAAGATCAAACTATATTATAATCTTTTTATATATAATATAGCAAGATAATATAAACTACTGTAAATACTACAAAAAGAAACCAAATTGACAATTTTTTTATATAAATCAATTTAAATAATATTAAAATTGTTTTTTATTTAAAATACAAAAGTAATTATATTAATAAAATTTTGTTATATTGCTCTTTAAAAGTTTGTATTTTCTTATACTTTATTATAAAATTTATAATATAAAGATTGATTTTTTGAAGACCTTTTGTTTTGTCAATTTTGTTTTTTTTTGCAGCACCTAGCCTATATGATACCTAATACAAAAATTTTGCTTTAAAATATACATGAAGTAAAAGTAGAGTATATTTAAAACTCCACTAGAATGAGGCAAAAGTTTGGCAAAAAGACAATATATACTGTAATTTAAACTTTATTTATTACAAAACAAAAAGAATAATCTCATTTGCTCAAGACTACTCGAGAAAATATAGAATACAAAAATATATAAACCAGATACTGTACTAACTATATAAAATTAAAATAAAAAAATTTTTATTAAATTTGGTTTAATAATTATTAATAAAAACATTTTAATTTAAAGTTAAAAAAGTTTACTTAAAAAAAATTTGTCTATTTTCTATTAACTTCCTTATCTATTTATTATATTATATATTTTATTTTAAAAGGTTTGTAAAGCTTTGTTTTAGTGCGAAGCTGAACAGTTTTATTAGTTTATCCGGTGTTAATTAATTATCTAGTTTTTGAGATATAGTGTTAACACTGTTGTGATTTAGTAAAACCGAAAAAATAAGATTACACAAAGTTAATTTTTTGGGTTTCGTAATACTGTAATATAAAATTCAAATAAACATTATTCCTGGGACAATTGATTACTGAATCGATAGGTTCCTAATGTCATCCTAAGCCGATAACTTATCGATTATGAATTTGTGAACTATTTTTTAGTTATCTCTGGAATAATTAAAATTCTCAAATTTTGACTAGCCGCGTTATGGAAATGCAAATCTACATGTAGATCAATGCAAATAAATTCTCAAATTTATAATAGCCATACTAAATCAAAAAAAATCTAAAATTAGTGACGCGTAAAATAATTCATGAGAATGAGACACAAATATAAATAATAAATTTCAGTGAGAGTCAAGATCTTAGGCAGATCTAAAGCGTTACAAATGAAAAGATTTATATAAAATTAATCTTTTTTATTGGAATATTGGAGAAATCTAAAGTCCATAAGAGTTTCAGATTTCGGTCAATAAAACCGTATTACAGTTTATGTTTTATAGTGCTAATTAAAAAAAAACCTAATTAAAATATTGTAACAATTCTCATTGATCTAAATCCATTACTTGAGTACATCGCTTTGCACTATATCTCTAATAATATAATGTATATTTGATATTAAACAGAAAAAAGTATGACTCAATAAATATACAAAAAAAAAAAACTTTTTGTAATGATCAAAAGCTTATGTGTGAATTATTATTATTATAAGAAATCAATCAACCGATTTTTGAAAAGAAAATCGACCGATTTAGCGAAAATTAGCTTTAGGCGATTTTTTTCATTATTGCTAGGATCACTATTAGACTTTTCGCTTCAAATTAGTACTCAACCATTCCAAACCCTCGTAAAGACCATCACCACTTGTAGCACAGGTGGCTTGGATATACCAATGACGCTGTCGGAGAGAATGAAGTCCAAGCTTATCGGTAATTTCAGCAGCATTCATAGCATTAGGCAAATCTTGTTTGTTAGCAAACACTAAAAGAAGTGCATCACGAAGTTCGTCTTCATTAAGCATACGTTGAAGTTCTTCTCGAGCCTCTGAAATACGTTCGCGATCATTTGAATCAACAACGAAAATAATACCCTGAGTATTTTGAAAGTCTTTACATTGACACAATATCAAATGATCCCATTAATAAAAAAAAAATTTTTTATATAAATGATCATTTTAATCTATAGCAAACTTACAATGACGCCATAACGGTCGGATCTTGTCTTGACCACCAACGTCCCAAACAGTAAAGGAAATATTTTTATATTCTACAGTTTCAACATTGAAGCCTAAATAAAAAGATTGAAAGTTAGAATTTTATAAAAAAAAAAAAAAGACGGAGAATTTTCAGAAGCACCTTAAGAGATACTTAAAATGTCCAGTCAAAGCAACTCACCGATAGTAGGAATGGTTGTAACAATTTCACCCAATTTAAGTTTGTACAAGATGGTTGTTTTACCAGCAGCGTCCAAACCAACCATCAGAATGCGCATCTCCTTTTTGCCAAAAAGGCCCTGAAGGAGTTTAGAGATTGAAAGACCCATTTTTGTATATGGTTTATGCTGATGGTGAAATGATGATAGTATATTATTCTAATTCTAGGGAAGGAACAACACGGCGTGAGCGCTTATAAAGCTTCACACAAAAGACCGCAGAAAGGAGATAGAAAGTGTTGATAGGAAGGGGTGCACAAGCAAAAAAAAGGTCAAACAAAAATGAAGAAGATTTGGCTTGATATTAGTGGACGAAGTTGAAACGGCGCAGTCATGGCGTAGACATCTAGTGACAAATAATCCAGCGACAGGTGTTAATCAAAAACCAGATAAGAGAACCAATAGCTTTTGATCTTAGATTACTGAACACAAACTGTTATCACTTACTTCATATGGTAGATCATGCTAACAGTTTAATGTATAACCAGTTTCAATCATTTAAAATCATATAAGAAATATTATAATTAGGTGAACAAGTAGTTTCTTGACATTTTTCATTTACTTTGCATTTTCTGTCATTACTTGTCGTCCACATGTGTGGCTATGTGATTTCTATTTAGAAACTTTAGAATCATGATTTATAAACATAATAACTAGATCTTCAATAATTTTTTATAATTATATTACATTATCGTTATCGTTATGCCGAATTCTTATCGTTATAAAACAAATGCTAACGCTAATTATATATTAACAGTTAAACCTAATTAATTTAATGCTATATACATACTTTAAAGTGCTTTAAAAGAGTGTTCTAAGAGAAATTCAATAATTATAATTTTTTTCTTGCGTAAATTTAGAGTTAATTTAAACGATACAGTATTAGCTCTCAAGTCATTACATCGAGATGAAAGTTTAATAATACTGCATATAATTTAAATTCTTTTACGTATTATCGAATCTTTACTATATCAAGACACTTGATGTATTAAGATCTTTAATGGTAATCACGTTACTAAATTCTTGACTTATTTATGCATGTACTACCCTCGCTCATAATAATCACGTGAAATTTCTTTGTGAACTCCAGAACTCGTAAAAATAAATTATCGTTATGGATAATAATGATAAATTTTTAATGGTTTTACGTATAGGTATAAGCGAAGCTTTACTACAATTGATGTATCGACTGCGTAAGCAACGATACATCAGTTGTAAGTACTTTTCCACTTATACGTACTAAACATAAAATTCTATGTGCGTACTTATTTATTTACGCATTTAAATATGGGGTACCTAAATAGAATACGTGAATGGGAGATAACGTTACGTTACACTTGATCCGGTAATTTGATTGGACAGATTGTCAAGTTATCGAATTTTAAAGATATATCATATGAATTTTTCGTCCTAGCGTTCAAGGATGACAATTAGATCATACACGCTACCAACAAAACCAATCCTTCGCTTTCTTCAATCATCATCACAGTCATTAACGGCTTTTATATATGTAGATGGAACCATTGAGATTCATCCATCCAAGGTAACTGCTTATTTTCACTTTAAAAATTTATATTTTGCATTTTTTTTTTTTTTAGTTAACGCAACTTACCGTCCAAAGGCTTCAACCGGCCCTCCTTTACGTATAGATGATGATCCAACTTTTCTTTTACTCTTAGATGTTCCCCATAATTCAAATGAACCAACAACTTCTTTAGTGGTAACTTTCCATATTCACCTAAAAGAGCGTGCTGGAAGTTTCGAAGTTCGAGCATACGAATTTTTACCGAATTTGGAAAACTCTAATGGAGGATCGGCTTTTGGATTGATACCAATCGTTTTGCAAGTTGGTGAAGAAAGATTGGTAAAGGATTTTAAGAGTTCTTTAAAAAACAAGCAAGTATCAAATTTTTTTTTTTATTCGTACCTTATCAGTTATACTGTTTAGGCTTTTATTTATGTGAATCATACATAGGTTGACCGCTTCTGTCGCATCATGTCCAAAATATATTACAGGTTATGGTCAAAGAGTTGTAATGTTGTGTGAATCGAATGAAATTATTTTATGGAATTTGAAAAAGGTACATAATCCTAATGTTAAACTATATTCGTTTGATTCTAAAATTCACGTGATCTTTAAAGACCTTTGTATTTATATAGCATTGGGATAGTTCTCTTCGTTTTGAATGGCATAGTACAATCTCTCTTCCAAATTCATATCCAGTAACAAGCCTTTGCGTTACGCAGAGTTTTATTTTTTTTAGTTCCACCAATTTCAAATCAAAATTAGATGAAGAATGCTTATGCGTGATTACAATTAAAAAACTATTGGCAGGCAAATTTTGTGGGTGCTATCATCGTGAAGATAATTTTATAAATAACAAAATTTTTGAAACTGAAATAGATGAAAATGAAGAAGACAGAATTGGTAATGGTAACACAGAAAAGGGTGATAAGAAAGGGGTGAATACTATACAAATGCGGGCGCAAGCTCCAAGGCTTGGATGCTTGAGTGAATGTGGTCATTTATGCCTTATACCATTAAATAACATTGTATGGAAAAATAATATCAATGAAGCTACAATATATGGTATATTTATTAAATTTTATTTGCTAATATCTTTATACAGTAGTAAAAATTTTTTTGTTTAGATCTACAAGTGATATCGACAGACACGATTCTTCTTTATACAACTCTTCCCACCCTATTCATCTTATCTGCATGCATCAAAACAATTATATTACCAATTTCAAGTAAATCACGTAAGACTTCATTAGATGATGCACTTTCTGAAACAAAATATCATACTGTGTTCTCGTGCTTTCCGTTAAAAGATTTTCCAATTCCAAATTCAACCGGTGTAAATTTGGTAAAGAAAAGTAGTAGCATTAATGATACTGGAAATGTTGAATGGGGGAGTATTTTAGTCGGGCGAAATGGGCCGTCTGTTGTGGTGATTGAAAACCCTTCTGATAAATATAGCGTTAATATAGGGGAACAAGACACACAAATTTTATCTCAGCAAAGTGGTGAGATGTTAATGGCTAGTTGGGCGAGCATGCCATTTGATGCTACAGATGGAAGTCATAGTACAGTTTATATTGTGGCCGTAGATCAAGATGATATGCGAGGTTTAAATTTTCAAAATGATTTTATATCATCACTTGCATTAACTGGAACTCGTGGAAATAAGGAAAAAGAATGTGAAAATGGTAAGGAAATCAAATTTGTCTATACTTTTTTATTGTTAATAATTTTATATAAATAGTACTAACATTATCTACAGACTCTATTTCTGCGTTTAACGATATCTCATTTAAAACCATTGGCGATACTACACTACTATGGCATGTTATCTCTTGTCGTTTGATACGAGCAATTTTTGCAACTTCTCACATAATGGATGTGTGTGCACAGGGTACTGATATTATAATTGTTGCCGGAAGTAGAGAAACTACATTATACATCGGTAAATGGTGTGGATAAAGATACTATATAGTATGGTTAATGTTAATTATAAAACATATATCATTAAGGAAAAGTCTGAAGGACTATTTAAATTAATCTTCATACACGTGACTGATCACCCAATCAAAAATTGAAAAAATTATTGTCATTATATAAACAACCAATAAAATTTCAGAATAAAACCCGGTTTTAGAACTATCTAGGTAAGTGGGGTATTAGGTAAGACAAATTAGATTGAGATAATATCCGATATTTAACATCACGAGATAATCGAATGCTGAATGAGGTTAAGAGCAAATTTCTCGTAACTCGCGATATTCATTAATCTAACTCGATTCGTCTTGATGAGACGATTCGGGCAAATTTGCGCGTTTTATTTTTAATGAAGCATCATTATATTGCTACTGAGAAATGTTAGCATTATTTTATATATTTGCATATTGATTTGTACTCTAAAACCTCTGTAAAACGAGGACTGGCTATATGAAAGATATAATATTTAAATATATACTGTATTGAATAATGAGTAGAGTAAACGATGATACAGTAATAAATAATGAGAATAAATTAGGATCGCTGTTTTATTATTTTTGAATGTTACTTTACATATCAAAATTACTACTTTTTACATATTAATTAATATTTATTAAATGTTATTTGTTAGTATTTCACATTAGATAAATTCGCCTTTGTGTAAAATTTCCCTCACGGACTTAATCTAAAATTGTGATTTGATTGGTCAATATTGGTCGATAAACTTGTGATCTTTGTGTGTCTCTCTTACTGGTCGAACAATGGCGTGTGATCTGGATTTTTGCCATAGTTAGAGTACTCTGCACGTAGTACGTGCGTGCGTATTTTTTTTTTTTTTTTTTCGTAGACGAACGTGATTGTTGAGGAATTTTTGAACATTAGGATTATAAAACGTACAATTTCATGTAATTTGTGGTTCGTATTTTTTTTTTCTCGAAGGGATTGGATAAATTACGATAACTTGAGAAACGAATGATATCTTGCATCAGGGAAGTGAATAAATTCAACAAAACCATATTCCAACTCACGATCCAGCTGGCCGACCTCTTTTTCTTTTTTTCATTTGGCTTGTTGCATTTCCTATGCAAGTATCACAATACCACCTTCCCTCCGGTACAGCTTTGAGTCCGACACAGTCGAGATGATACCATTCAATAGGACAATTCTGTAAAAATATAAATATAAATATAAAGTTAATTTTCAATTACAAATTTTGAATCTAAAATTTTTCTTACCTCTCCATCACAACCAATCATTTCCCCAAAACTGACTTGTCTACAAATACAATATACTGGCTCATTCGGATCAACAGGCTGTACAAAGCCTGATGAGAATGAGTTGGTGCCAGTCATAAGTGTATTTTCATATGCATCAGCATTTGGATCCAATATATTTAGGTCAATGTCACCATTCGAGATTTGATCATTAACAGACGATGGACCGTTTTCTTCACCATTCTGCATTCGTACTTTGATTCCTCTCGAGAGATGGCTATTCATTGATGCATCCGAATTTGATGATATATAAGTAGATATGTTACCCTGAGAACTATTATGATTATTATAATTATTATTTTTTTTTTTAAAAAAAAAGAATATAAATATAAAGCAAACAATAAATATTATTTTTTTGTAATTTCTTATAAAAAAATTTAAAACAAACATTTGTTTTCGACGTCTTGCACTATTACCACTAACAGGTACTGCAGGCGGCCGACGACCTGAGATCATAGAGTCTTTTATCAGTGAAGTAGTATTCAAAAAGATAATATGTTAATAAATAAGGAATAATTACAGCTATCATATGTAATAATACCTTTATTACACCGTGTTGCAGACGGACTTGGATTTGGTAAAAATGGTAATGCTGTATTGATATAATCGTAGTAAAATTTATTTTAGAAAAAAAAACACCTAACAAAAAATATATTGTCTAATATAACTTACGAATTTCTTCAGATTCAGCACTTGATGAGGGATAATAAAATTTATTATAATCAAATGTATTAGGAAATGTGGACGCAGACATAGGTGTTACTGCTGGAATTGGTTGAACTTGTGTTCTAGTTGCTTGTGATGTTGATGTGGTATTCACGTGATGTGTCGTTGGCTGGTTTGACACTAATTCTAACCTGGACGGGCTCGGTGGAGCCGAAGTAGAAGATTCCTGAAGATTTTCACGAAGATTATGTTGAGGAAATAGACTATCAAAATCTTCATCAAGACGTTTTATATGCCTTTCGACCTATGAAAATAGTGAATATTTAAATTAAATGTACAAATAAGATATTACAATATTATAACTATACCAAGTGTTTAAAATACATTTACCAGTGCCAGAGCCTTATCAGCAATTTCGATCTTTTCATCTTGTAATTGCGAAGCTCTTACGTAATCTTTAATTATCTTATCTTTTAACATTTCTTCATCTTCGAATTCGGTAATAACGCGAGACACTCGGCGCCGTTTCTTTTTAACAATATGATCGTCGCTTTGTTCATCTTCGTCACGATCTTCGACTTCACTATCTGAGTCATCGTCCTCTGTGTCTTGATCTTCGTAAACACTTTCCATTACAGAACAATCGCTATCTTCTTCAAGTGGGACACCATCATATAGACACCACAGTCTTTTCTTACGACGCTCTATTCTCTCTGCCAGTTCTTCATACATCGATGATATACATTGAGTGAAAGAGTAGGAATAATAATATCACGAAAAATTTAAGTTGAATATTGAACCTACGCTCAATTTCTTGATCCTTATTTGTTAACTCAGTAAAATGATAGTGAATTTCGGAAGGAAGGTTATCAATGCCTGAAAAGAATAAACCGAGACAACACGTTAGATCCAATCACAACACTTTTGTTCATATAATAACTTATTCATATAAAAAACAGATCGTACTTCCTAAGTACTGGATCAAATACTCGTTAGCGTCTATTGGTTCCATTTACGAAAAAGTATTTATAATAGTTTAAATTGCTGTTATACAAGAAGATAGAATATAGTACTCTTTTGAAAAAATATATATAGATCGATACAAGAAACAAATTATATATCATTTACAAGAAATAAATGTTGAAATCTTCGATTCGCTATTGAAAAGCACCATAAATTAATGATCGCCAAAAAAATGCATCAAATGATTGGCTGTACAGATCTGTAGTACCGAATCACGGACCATCTCGAATCGTCCACCACAATTATGACATAGTAGATAAAGCTAAACAATTGTTACCAATTATATACTTTGATAAAATTAATAACATTCACGTGAAACTCGCCTGACACGAGATATAGTAGCTCATAATTCTTTAGAAATAAACTAAAGTTCCTTGATTATCATTATGGGAAAAGACAGAGATAAAATTGCTGAATACGAAAAATTTTTGCATGAAAAATTAGAACCTGATTTAAAACAAGTCTGGGATTTACGTGAAAAGATATATGAAGAAACGTCTGATTAGTAAAGTGTTTGATAAATATATATTTCGTTTGTTCTTTTTGAAAAACTTAATAATAATCCAATTTTTTTTTTCAAGTGTGAAGTTGAAAAATTATATCCAGTTAATTAAATCAAATGAATTAAAAGAACTAAAAACTATGGTTGATTTAGGATCAAATTTTTATGCACAAGCGAAAATGTAGGTTCAAAAATTCAAGGGTACCATTAGTAAAAAGTAAGATGATTATTATTAAAGTTTTTCAAACGCATACGTTTGAGTAGACCCGATACTACATATATTTATGTGAACGTTGGGTTTGGGTTTCATGTGCAATTGACTCTGGATGAGGCAATAAAATATATTGATCGTAAAGAGAAATTATTACAAAGGTAAGAGAAAAGGAGTGAACTTTTTTTTTCCAATTTGCCACTTTTTTATTTATAAATTTTTTAATAGAAAATCAGACCAGTACACTCAAGACATTTCTAAAATTAATGCACACATAAAACTGGTAAAAAAAAAAATAAAAATCTATATTTCCTGATTGGAGTAATTTATATAAGCTAATATACGATGATTATTTAGGTATACGAGGCATTAACTGAGATCATGAACTTACAAAAAGGAGAGGAGCCACCGTTACGAGATGATCTATTTCTATAATTAATTTTTTTTTTTGAAACGACATAGCTCAGGTTTGGGAATTGGAATTTTTACTTCATTTAGGATAATAATAATCAAACTTAAATTAATGCCATAAATTAAGATTACAACTATACAGGATGTGTTGAATAAAAGCAATACGTTAGGTATATAATAGTTATATCGAATATGTACACGATAAGTGAAAGCAATTATAAAAGTGAAAGTTTCTTTCGAAATTCAAGTGGAAATGCTAAAGGCATGGATTATATTCTTTTACAAGGGTTCAAAATGTTGCCAGTATTGATCAAATTAGTTGATACATCCAATTTTTTATATATATGCAATTCATAAAAGATAAAAATTTTAATTTGATTTAATTTAGAAACAAAAATTTGGCTTTAAACTTTATACGTATATACAGTTAAACCTCGTTATAGTCACTCTTGATACAGTCACAAACTTGATATAATCACAGAAATTTGATTGTATATGAGTGTCGCCAAAAAAACCCGACAATTTAAATATAGACTATATTTAAATTGTCGGATTTTCTTTTGGCGACACTCATATATATTTTAATATTTAATAAAGCTTTGTATAAAGTTAAATAGTGATAAATAAAACTTTACTAAATTATAATACAATATATATATTATATATTAGCTAGGGTTGTTAACTTACGTGTAAGTTTACTGTAACTTACACTTAACTTACTATTACGTAAGTTACAGTAATTTACATGCAAGTTACGTATATGTAAGTTACTGTAACTTACATGTAACTTATATACTACGTATGTAAATTAAATTGCCAGGTAAGTTTTAACAACCCTAATATTAGCATTCAATATACAGTACCGTAAATTGCCACATAAACCACCCCCTTTATAGAAGACCCCCCTTCTAGTAGACCCGGGTCTGTTACTTGGATTCAGTGAAAGGTAAAAAGTACAAGACCCGGGTCTATTATGTGGTC